GGGGGGGGCATGAGGGGAGGTACAATTAAACATTGCAACCAAACAGGTGGCCAATGTCCAAGTATATACAGTGGGGGAAATAAGTATTTGAGCCCTTGCTGATTTTGCAGGTTTGCCCACTTACAAAGAATGCAACGATCTATAACTTTAATCATATGTGCATTCTAACAGTGAAAGACAGAATCCCAAAGAAAATTCCAGAAAATCACATCATATGAATTTATAAAGATTGATAACCATCTGATGAGGAAAAATAAGCATTCTTTGTAAGTGGGCAAACCTGCAAAATCAGGCAAGAGGCAGATGCATAAAAAACAAGAGAAGTTCAAACAAACTGTACAGCACAAGATAGTTTAGTGCTCACACCGGGCGCCACGGCCTGTTCATGTTCATGTTCATGTTCATGTTCATGCATTTGTTTATTTATTTATTTATTTATTTGAATAGGGACAGAGCACATTAATGGACATCAGTGAAAACAAATGTAAATATGCCGGATTGTAGCTACAAAGCTAATTTTCATCCGTAGTCCCTAGTTAAAAAATAACATATAATAAACAATACAATTTGGCAGACGCTTTTATCCAAAGCGACTTACAGAGTAGGGAGGAGCTGTAATTGGCCGGGAATCGAACCCAGGTCAACTGCTTGGAAGGCAGCTATGCTAACCATTACACCACCTACTCCTCACTGGCCTACTGACCACGGTGAAGATATTGGACGCAAATACATGTTTAAATCCTCCTGTTGGCCCTTTGACCTGATCCTATACCCCCCCACTTCCTTTCACCAGTTAATGGAATAAAACAGCAAAACTACCGACTTTCCAAAGAATAAAAACAGGGGAACCAATATCTTCCTGAGTCCTTTCCTTTGTAAAGTGTCTCTGAGTGTTTAACCCTATAATGCCAAATGTATCATATATGATACACACAGTTTCTGAAATGTTTTGCGTCTGACACCTTTTGCATAATTTAATGGTAAAAACTTTGCTCAAAATCCTATTGTACACAATCAGATACACCTGATAACAGGGGGCAGAAGACTACACAAAAAATAATCTTGACTTATCGCATAGTAATAAATTATTAATATAAAAAATGGATTTCAGTTTTTTCTTTTTACATATTTTGTTAAAAGGCCAAATAAGAAATTCAAACAAAAAAAAAAGTAGTTTTCTGTTTTGTTTTGTTCTTGAATCGGGCTTTAAACGGTTAAATTCTAACCACAGAAGATGCATATTTCTGCCAACATTTTGATAACTTTTTATACTCACTAAAATGTTTAAAAAAAACAAAACATATTTCTAAAGTTTGGGAACCGGCCCGAAAACCCAGAATAAATATGAAAACAGTGATTTTTGAGTAGTTTTCTGTTTTGTTTTATTCTTGGATCGGGCTTTAAAGGGTTAAGCAAAGCGGAAACCGATCAGGAGGAGAGAAGCGGGATAAGCTAAACTGGACTGTGTCCGTACGTTTGGAGGAGAAAAAAGAGAAACAAACCGAAGATAAACCAAAGATATGAGGAATATGATTGATGTTTGAGCCCAAACGGAAAGCCGAGCCGATGTTAAACAGATAAACCCTGAGAAATATATAATAAATTAGCATTATTTACAGTTTGCTATCTTTGGTGTGCAATATCCCACCCTACAATGTACAGTACTTATGGTTTTATACCTTTAATGAGAAATATTTACAGTTTTTGTACCCTTATTGAGCAATATTCACAAATTTTGTACCCTTTAATGAGCAGTATTTAAAGTTTTGTACCCGAAATGAGCAATGTTTACAGTTTCTAACCCTTTCATGAGCAATATTTACAATTTTTTACCCTATATTATGCAAAATCTACAGTGTTTGTACCCTTAAGTTGCAATATTTACAATTTATTGCCCTAAAATGTGAAATATTTACAGTTTTTGTACCCTTAATGAGATATATATTTACAGTTTTCTACCCTTTAGTTTGAAGCATTCGATCAGAGATTTTCTGATTTTTTTAGCAATTTATCTGACTCTCAACTTAATTTATCTAGATTGTTGAATCTTTTACGGAAAAACTGTAATATTGTATTATTTTTGTTGTAAAATGAGCTCATACACATAAAGGGATTGTTCATAAAAGTGATCTCCGCTGCTCTTAATGTGTCTTAAACTCCTTTAATCTCTTTCCAGGTCTGTTTTTATAGCTCCCGAAGCTTAAAATGACCCCAAATGTTGAGTTTATTCTTTTCAGTGAAGACTTTGGACGGCGTTTGTGAAGCGTTTCGACTAAAAAGTTCAGTGAGTTGCAGTTTACGGGGTTTGATAAGAGCCAGTTTGATGGTGTCCGAAAAAAAAAAAAACACATTGTAGTGGCACTCTGCGTCCCAAAAGTTCGTTGTACCACATTTTTGCAGTTTGTCTAACAACCAATATCTGAATAACTCGACTGAAACCAAGTCTTCTTTCATGATTTTTACTTAAAGAACTCAAAAAAGCTTCCACCGTATCGAACAAATTGCTTTTCACAATAAAAGCATCCTTTTACATTAACTAAGTTATACATTCTAGAAAATGTACTCATCAAGAATTTCTTAAAAGTAAATTAAGCATATTTATACATTTTTAATCTAAATTATTATTCTATATGTACTTACACACATCCTACAGAGATGTATAAAGTACTGGAGTAGAGGAGTGGAGTAGAAGTACAAGTACTATATAAAAAAAATGGCCTTGAGTAAAAGTAGAAGTATTATATGACCACCATACTTAAGTCAAAAGTACGAAAGTATTGTACTTAAGTATTGCAAGTAGAAGTATTTCAAAAATTGCTACTCAAGTATCGAAAGTACAAGTATAAGTAAAAGTACAAGTACTGTGTATATTTAAAAAAAAGGCAGTCAAAAGTTTGATAGATATTGTTTATATTATTTCAAACCTGTGAAAGACAAAATAAATGTCCATTTAATACTTGAATAATATCTAAACATCATCATCACATGTGTTATTACTGTGCTTTTGTGTACGTGTGGAAATAAAAAACAAAACACCCAAAGATACAAAATCTCATCTTTCGTTTTGTAAGAAAAAATTTCAACGATTTTAAAACTGCCACGTTTTAAAAAACGGCTGGATTTTTTTTTAA